TAAAAACCTATTTAATGTGAAATAAATGAAAACCGCAGTTGTAAAAGCAATGATCAAGTTGTAAATATGAAAAGAAACATGAATCAATATTCATATTCAGGGTTTCTAGGCTGAATTCCGTTCAGTTAATATACAATAATCAAAAACACTTACACATTGACTTGTGAGCTATAAAACAAACACCTGAAGTCAAGAGGTAGATCATTTTCACAGGTTTCATTTTCATGTGTGTGTGTGTGCACAGTTCAGCACGGTGTTATAACATGGTGATCTCGCTGGGTGGTAGGGTGAGCCTCTTCTCCCGCACTAACATCATGTTTTCCACCTGCATGGCGATGACTCGACACAACTCCAGGCCCTGTGGACAAACACAACCAGCATCAGCATGGACACTGAGACACAGCGACACTGAAAATCATTTCCGGCACGTGTGGCCTCTGAAGTGTGTCCTTGTCCGCGTTGCTTGCGTAATAACCTGCTCCAGCTGCATCTGAATGACCCGTTGTGTGTTCATGTCCCCCAGGGTGAGGTCGACATACGGGTAACTGGTTCCAGCAGTGGGCCTCTGTGTGCGGCTGGACTGCACTTCCACCAGGGGGACCACTACCATCAGCTCCTGCACCACAGAGTCCAAACATGAAACACTTCTATCCACTGCAGATACATGAGACTCTACTTCTGGGCTCATGTTTCAGTCACGATGAGCTGAGTCATATTAGTGTGTGTGTGTGTGTGTTTGGGGGGGGGGCTCCTTACATGGGTATTTTTGTGCAGGAAGTGCAGCCCATGTTGATTGACAGCAACAATGCAGGGGGCGTAGAAGGTGGTGGAGCTGCTGCTGTGGATGTAGAAGAACGAGGAGCCGAACATGGGGAAGGCACTGATCAGGCCTGCACACATCCAGACACACAAAAACATACACGCTGTTGTTAAAGGGACAATTCACTGATTTCACACATCAACTCTCCACGAGAGGTTTTATTCTAATTCATAGTTGTATGATGTTTTTACGCTCTGGAGGAGTTTTCCACTGTAAGCCTGAGGGTGGAGGAACAGCCTTTAAACAGTCTGTGTTCCACATCAAGGAAAAGAAGTTTAAAAGAAAACCCTGTGTAGTTACCAGGCATTCGATGTCTCGTGAAAGATTCAGTGCTTGGTTGAATTACTGGAAATGTCGGATGCAATGTTTTTAAAGCCACTGGGGAATAAAACTCAAAGAAATATTGAGCTTTGGTGCTTTTACACCACAAGAGGACGTCTGAGAAACAAGTCATTTTCTTTATCAGGACTATATATTTTTTTGGGAATAGATGAAATATCTGTAAATATGATACATAACCAATGACTGATTTAGCTTCACAGTTCATTCTCTGAAACTTGGAAACAGGAGTCGAGAAAACAGTCCCCGCTCAAGGTTCATGTAACTTAAAGGGCACAGCCACTGCTGCCGGCTGCTTTATTTATCTGCTGACGGTGACACGTGACACGGTCGATTTATATGTTTGCTGTTCTTTTGTTGGGGTAGATTGTGAATTTCAAAGTTGGGCCTCGGCAGAGGTTTGTGCTCCTCTGATATAAACGAACAAAGATCTTACCCAGAAACTGCGCTCGAGCCTGGTGCGGATTCAGGGACTGTACTTGTTGCATGTGCTGCGTCACCATGGTAACCCACTGCTGGGTTGGCTGCTTCTTGAAGAGAGGTGTGGCGATGTACTCGGATAATTCATGTCTGGAGGAGGAGGACGGGGGGGGGGGTGCAGAAACAGAATCTAAGATAAACACAAGTCTGCTTCGCTCTTTGACTTCCAACATGTCTGACAATGATTTCCGGCGGCTCAGCGAGTCGACTCCGCTCTGCGGCTGGCTGAGCGTGTGGGCGGACGGAGACGGCGATAACGTCGGTAAGAGCAAGAAACAACATTAAAGTTTCAACAGTTGAGAAAGTAAAAAAAAAAAAAAAAAAATATCGAGCCAATCAAGTGAAATGTTTTGCTTCCACGGGAGACAAAAGAAAAATTCTGCACTTTTACTCAAACTCAATCATTTTCCTTTTTCTG